TCAGGTGAATGCACGTGCCCTGTAGCAAATTTTAAAAATAATAGTAATAAATGAGGAACCAACAGGTAGTGTGGTGGTGAAGGGCACTGAACTCCCACATGGCTGACTGTAGTTCAAGTCCCAGACCTGGTGACTTGCTTTCTCTCTCTCTCTCTCTGTCCCTCTCTGGTCAAATTAAAATAAATAGATAAAGTTAAATAAAATAATTCTTTTAAAAAATTTGAAAAAATGAAATTAAATAAATAATTGTTTTAAGAAGTTTTGCTATAGGGCACACGTACTCATCAGAAAGAGACAGAGAGATAAAGGAGACAACAAGCCACAAGGTTCGGGACTTGAACTGCAGCTGGCCATGTGGAAGTCCAATGACTTAACCACACCACCTGCTGGCCCCTATCCTGTGTCTATAGTTTGTTTTATTGCTCCTTGACACAACTGAGATAAATGCTAAGCTCATTTGTCTGTAAACATTTTAGTTTTTTTTTGTAAGATTTTTGGTATAGAACATGTGTGCTCACCAGATAGAGACAGAAAGCAAGAAATCACCACCCCCTCCCCCAGGAGGTGGCTATGCTGCAATCCCTTCTCCATTCTCCTCTCAGAACATTTGGAACACACGCACACACACACACATGTGCCCAGTGTGACCTTTAAGCTGCTAGGCCCAGAACTCGAACTGCGGCCAACTATGTGGGAGTCCAGCGACATAACCATTACACTGTCTACTGGTCCCAGTTTGTAAACTTTCTTTTATTTCTCTTGTAAATAATGCTATAAATTTACCCTTAAGTACTAATTTAACTGTGTCCCACAATTTTTACTTGATAATGTGTTCATTATCTTTCATTTCAATGTCCGTAATGTTCAATATCCTTAATCATGTCCCAATTTCCCTATTGTGTGGTTCTTTTTTAACTCTAGGGTTATACAGAAATATATATTTTTCAAATCTATGCAATTAAAAAATATATTTATTGGGAACCAACAGTTAGCGTAATGGCTATGTCGCTGGACTCCCACATAGTCGACCGCAGTTCGCATCCCGGACCCAGTGGCTTAAAACTCACGCTGGGCGCGTGTGCGTGCATGCCCAAGATCCCAAGAGGAGAATGGAGGAGAAGGGATTGCGGCCTGGCCATAAAAAAACCGGGGGGTGATTTCTCGCTTTCTGTCTCTCTGTCTCTCTCTGTCTGTCTGGCGAGCGCACGCACCCTATAGCAAAAACCTCTCCAAAAAAAATATTTATTTATTTATTATTATTATTATTTTAATTTGACCAGAGAGAGAGGGAAGGAAGGTGAAAAAGCAAGCCACCAGGGCTGGGACTCGAACCATGTTTGGCCACGTGATAGTTCAGCACTTTAACCACACCACCAATGACCCCAAATCTATGGAATTTATTTTAAAAGAAAAATTCCTGGGACCAGCCAGGTGGCATGGTGATTAAGGCGGCTAAATCCCAAATAGCTGACTATGCAGTTTGAGTCTTAGAGACCCGGCAGTTTGAAAAACATACTGGGCATGTGTGCATGTATGCCCCAAATCTCTAGAGAATGGAGGAAAAGGGATTGTGACATGGCCATTCCTCCTAGGGGATCATTTCTCACTTCTCTACCTTTCTCTTGCCCTCTCTGGCAAGTGCATATGCCCTATGGCAAAACTTAAAAAAAAAAAAAAGAAAGAAAGAGAGAGAGAGAAAGAAAGAAAAAAGGTTATCTTTTATCAGTATCTAATTTGGTTGCATTATGTTCAACATACACCGTCTGAAATTTTTAAAAAAATTATTTATTTATTTAATTCTATTTGTTATTATTATTATTTTAAATAATTATTTATTTTATTTATTCATTCATTTTATTTTAATTTGACTAGAGAGAGAGAGAGAAACGCACACAGAGACAGACAGAGAGGGAAGTGAGAAAGCAAGCCACCAGGTCTGGGACTTGAACCATGGTTGGCCATTTGGGAGTGTCTAGCACCTTAACCACCACACCACACCACTTCTGGTCCCTGTTATTATTATTTTTAATTTGACCATAGAGAAAAAGGGAAAGTGAGAAAACAAGCTGCCAGGTCTGGGACTAAAATACTATGATAGGCCATGTGAGAATCCAGTGCCTTTAACCACCATGCCACCTGCTGGCCCCAATAGTCTAAATATTATCGATCACTTGTATTTGAAGATATACCATCATCAAAATTAAGGGAAATACACCATAGTGAAAATGAAGAGATCCCAGATGCAGAGAATATATTGGCAATGTCTAGAATGTATCTATGGGACTGGCAGGTGGTACAGTGGTTCAGAGAAAAGACTTTTAGTCTGTGACTCTTCTGACTGACAGAGTCATCTGAAGTGTTCACAGAATAACTACTCAGGACAGAGGTCTGAGTCAAGAGGGAGAGGGATAGGCCATACCACACGTGTGCTTGCTAAGCCTCTTTCATCCTCCATATTTATTTATTTTTAAAGATTTTATTTATTTATTTTTGACCAGAGAGGGTCAGAGTGACAGAGAGTGAGGAAAGTGAGAAAGCAAGTCGCCAGGACTCGAACCGCAGTGGGCCATGTGGGAATCCAATGCCCTTAACCACCACGCCACCTGCCATATCCCCCTCCAAATTTATTAGGGCAAAGGAGGAAGGAAAGTCGTTTTCTAGAGAATTAGAAAAATAGGGGAGGACCAGCAGTTAGCGTATGGCTATGTTGCTGGACTCCCACGTAGTCGACCACGGTTCGTGTCACAGACCCGGTGGCTTAAAACTCACACTGGGCGTGTATGCGTGCATGCCCAAGATCCCAAGAGGAGAATGGAGGAGAAGGGATTGCAGCGTGGCCATCCCCCCCAGGGGTGATTTCACGCTTTCTATCTCTCTGTCTTTCTGGAGAGCGCACGCGCCCTATAGCAAAAACCTCTCAAAAAAAAAAGAAAAAGAAAAATAGGGGGATTTCTAGAACATATTGTTTTCGGTATCAATTAGGAGGGTAAGACTAAATGACGCCAGACGCTGGGCAGAACACCTTGGACTCTGGGAAACTACATTTCTCAGATCACACAGCCGTCTAATGGCCTCCTGTTGTTTGCAAGAAGGAAGGCCACATTCCCTGAGCATGCATTCATTCATTCACTCGGAGTCCATAGATCCATGGTATTCTGGAAGCATGGCATTGCTGTTGTTCTCTATCACATGTCTTCCAAAAGACATGCACAAGGTCACAGCAGCTATATTCAGAATAGCTGGTCAGACTCAAAGTCCATCAACAGTAAAATAGATACATAAACCTATATATATTCGGTGCCAGCAGGTGGCGTAGTGGTAAAGGCGTTGGACTCCCACTTGACCAATTGTAGTTTGGGTCCCGGACCTGGCAGCATGCGTGCCCCAAATCCCAGGAGTAGAATGGAGGAGCATAGCTATCCTCACCAGGAGCTGATTTCTCATTTTCCGTGTTGCTGTCTCTTTCTGGTGAGTGCATGCACCCTATGGCAGAAACCTTAACAAAAAATAAAAAACTAAACAAAACAAAACAAAACAAAACAAATGCATATTACTTAAGACAGGCCCCATTGACAGCCTCTCTTGCTCACTCTCTCTCTCATGCATGTACACCTGTGCTCTGGCATTGACAGCAAAAAAGCCAGCCACAGTAACACTGTTTTGTAGTCTGAGACCACATGGGAAGCCCAGGTTAGATTCCCAGTCCAAACTAAAGGCCAGGCACAGTGGTGTGTGCCTGTAATCACACTGAGCTGGAGCTGACCTCGGCAACATATCAAAATCCTGTCTAAAAATAAGCCAAGCATGGGAACCAGCAGTTAGCGTAATGGCTATGTCGCGGGACTCCCACGTAGTCGACCGCGGTTCGCATCTTGGACCCGGTGGCTTAAAACTCACGCCGGGTGCGTGGGTGTGTGTGTGTGTGCCCAAGATCCCGAGAGAATGGAGAAGGGATTGCGGTGTGGCTATCCCCCCTGGTGGGTGATTTCTCGCTTTCTGTCTCTCTGTCTCTCTCTGTCTATCTGGCGAGCGCACAAGCCCTATAGTAAAAAAGTAAATAAATAAATAAGCCAGACATGATGGTGTAGACCTGTAGTCTCAGCTGGATGGGAGGCAGAGGATCACAACATGGAGAGACCATGTCTCAAAAAAAAAAAAAAAAAAAAGGGGGGGGGGGTCAGCCAGCCTGTATCATGCAGATTAAGGAAGCTGGATCCCACACAGCCCACACACAGTTTGAGCCCTAGACTCAGTGGCTTGAGAAACATGCTGGGCACATATACATGCGTGCTCAAAATCCCAAAGGAGAGAGTGATGAAGGAACAGCAGCGTGACTGTGCCCCATATGGGATGCTTTCTCACTTTCCTTCCTTCTCTCATTCTCCATCTCTGGTGACCACCCACGTCCTCTGGCAAAATTTTAAAATAATGGTAATAGGGCCAGCAGGTGTTGTAATGGTTAAGGCGCTGGACTCCCATATGGTCAACCATGATTCAGGTCCCAAACCTGGAGGCTTGAAACTCATTCTAATTAGATGGGAGTGCACATGCAAAATGCTGAGAGAATGGAGAAGGGATCATGGCATAACCAACCCCCTGTGGATGATTTCTGACTTTCTCTCTCTGAAGAGCACATGCACCCTACAGCAAAAATCTTCAAAAATAAAAAACAAGCTCACCAGGTGGTGTAGTCCCTACCCTACTGGACTGCAGTGCTAGGGTCTGCCTGCCTGACTGCAGGTTTGAATCACTGAGTGTACCGGGGAGTGGCCACCAGTACCCAGGATCTTGAGAAGCTGGAGGTCTGGGGAGGGAGATGGCAGCATGACAAGACCTTGTCAAGGATGCTCTCATGTGAATGAACGCACACTCGACTGTCATCATCACTATTAACAGAAACTAAAGACAAGATTCGACTGATTCCATTTATTTAAAGTTCGACAACAAAAGCTAATCTATGGTAGTAGATTAGTGGGGAGGAGTGTAACTTAGAAGGGGCATTAAGATGACTTCTGAGCTGAAGAGCTGTCCATGTGAAACTTGACAGTTGATGAAACGACTTGGCATCTACGGCTGCAGTGTACAGATGGTCTAGTCTCACTTTTGCCTTTCAGAATTCCCAGCATTGAGTAGAACCTATTTTTAGCCAGAACTCTTGCTGCAAGAAATCTGGACTATCTAGAGTTCATAACCATCCTCTTTTGAGTTTTTCTAGATGACAGTGGAGGGTCAATGTTGCTTACAGTAATGGATGCCACCCCTTTTGATCCTGGTTGAACTGAAGTTTGAATGATAACCTTTGTTGGATGTGGTAACCCTCCCAGTTGCACTGGCTTCTTAAATGTCTGATGGTGTTTGGTTTTGTGCTCTGTTTCTTCCTTCAGTGTTAAAAACTGTAGCCGGCACTTGGAACATTGAAACACTCTCCTTCTTTCATGCCTCTGACAATGATTCATATATATCTTTGCAATTTTAAAAACTTTGAGACAAAACGGACAAAGCAAGTTCTTTGTGTTTTCATGGCATGTTCTAAAGTGTGTTTCGACATCAGCAAAGGCCGACGATCTATAACTGCAAACCTGGCAGACGTAGGGCATTTCTCCGGGCTTATGATTATCCTTCATATGTTGTAAGAGAACCTGATCTGTTTCGAATGACAATTCACAGATTTTGCAGACAGTAGAGGGCTCCTGGGGAACGTGCACACTGTCGATGTGACACTGCATCTGGAAGGGAGTGGGGAACTGCCGGTGGCAGTGTTGACAGATGGTATGGTTTTCCCAGCTGTCACCCCTCTGCTTCTCAAGTTCCAAATGGTGCTTCACGTGATTCATAAACTTCACATTTTTTAGAACTTTCAAGCAGCTGAGGCATTTAAAGGTCGCATGAGTCTTCTGTTCTGGTTGCCCATCTCCTCTATGCTGTCCATAGTAAAAGTCACCAAGTGACATGATCAAATTTCCTTCCGTGGGACCACAGGCTTGGTTTTGACACGCTAGACTTGAAGAGTCTGCTTTGGCCAATCCTTGGACGCTCTTTGCTTTGTCTAGATTGAAAGGTATTTTTTCATTAGCAAAAACCCCAGGCAACGATGCCATCTGAGCACGGCCTGATGAGACGCTGTCACTTTTTGAGAGTATACTCCTGTTCACGATAGGAGAACTACTTGAAGGACTCACAGCTGAAGAAAGGGCCCCTGGGCTTTCATCCTTGAGTTTTGCCCTTTTAGGACTTACACTGTTTATATCTTCAGTGGAAAGTCTCTTTGAATGACGTTCATCTTTGCCTCTTGCAGAAGATAGAGCTCCAGCTAGACACCGGGTTCTGGGAGACGGGCCATCTAGGGCATTGTGAGGAGCCATTTGTGAGCTTGCTGTATACTCAGGGTTATATGAAGACATAGCGATCACAGGACTATCCCTTGATCTTCGTTCAGGCTGAGAAACTGACATGGCGGCCATGATTTTTGTTGTAGGGGTCATCCGATTTGCATGTGGGGCTATGTAAGCAGGACCTTGTTGCCTGATGTGGGCTTTCTTTCTTTTTGAATACGAGCCTGGAATGACTCTGTTTAAAATATTTGAAATGACTGGCTTTGGATCTGAAATCACCCTGACAAAGACGATCTCTGCATCATTTTGGACTTGTTCCACCCCAACAAAGATCAGCTCAGCATCTTCCTCTCCCTCATCACTCTCTTTACAGGCTCTTACACTCTTCTGTGGTTCTGGTTCTTTCCCCAGCAAAAGATCTGGCATTGTAAAATTACTTTTTGCTTGAAGTAACTGGTTTCAAACTTCCAGAGCTGTGTTTGGATAAATTCTCACCTAAGTGCAACCAAGTAATATCAGTATTTATTTCAAAAGACAAAAATCATTATTTAATATTCCCTGAGAACAGGAAGATAACTGTTAACATCATTGTTTTTTATTTTTAAAACAATGTTTATTTAAGGTTTTTGCCATAGGATGCATGTGCTCACCCGAGAGAGGAGACAGGGAAAATGAGAGATCACAAGTTGGTCACACCACAATCCCTTCTCCTCTATTCTCTTGAAATTTGGGGCATGTACACACACGCATCCGATGTGATGTTCAAACTGCCAGGTTGGGTACTTGCCGGTCATGTGAGATCTGGCATCTTAACCACCATTCCACCTGCTGGCCCTTAGCATCCTTGTTTTTAGGTATAAGAAAACAAGCTCGAACCATTTGAATGACAGGATAATTCCAAATTTACCTCTTCCTCCTCCCCCAAAGAAAGTCTTGTAATTGACAAGGGGCCATGCATCTAGGGCATTAGGTTTTTTAAAGAATTATTTTTATTTATTTTATTATTATTATTTTGTACTTTGACCAGAGAGAGAGAGAGAGAGACAGCTGCCAGATCTGAGACTCAAACCACAGTCAGCCATGTGGGAGTCCAATGTCTTTAACCACCATGCCACCTGCTAGCCTCAGGGCACAAGATTTAAGGAGACACACGTTAAACATCTCAGAGTTTCTGTCTCCTTAAATTTTGTATCTTGGGTGCCCTCACTCACTTCCTCCTAGTCCCTAATGTATCTCCTTGTATATCTATGATTTCTAACCCACTCTAACAAAACTTAGGTCTTGAGTGGTTAGGCAGTATGTGGAGGGAGCTGGAACCCACACAGTTTGACTGTGGTTGGAATCCTGGCTTGGAACATGCTTGCCCAGGATCCTGATAAGAAAGGGGATTACTGCATGACCAGACCCCACTTTGTCTCTCTCAGACGTGCACATGTGCCTTCCGGCATTAAATAACAAAATAGTACCAGTTTAGCCCTCAAAAACCTGTTCTTGGGACCAGCAGGTTATGTTGCTGGACTCCCACATAATCTATCATAGTTTGATTCCTGGAACCAGCAGCTTAAAAAATTCATGTCAAGCCCAGTGAATGCACATGCCTTATAGCAAAAATCTCTCAAAAATAAACAAACAAACCTGTTCTTGAGGTCAGCAAGTGGCATGGTGGTTAAGGCAGCCAGATCCCACCGAGCCAACTATGCGGTTCAAGTCCCAGACCTGGTGACTTGAAAAACATACCAGGTACGTTTGTGTTTGTGTCCAAAATCCAGAGAGGAGAATGGATCATGGCATGGCTATCCCCCTGGGGAGAGCTTTCTGACTTTCCCTCTCTCCAGCTTTTGTCTTTCTTTTTATTTATGAATACAATTGTCCTATAGCAAAGTTAAAAAAAAAATTGTTCCTGTAACGCTTCTGTTCTCAGTAACCCCGGTCGGTCGGTGGTTCAGTCCACAAGCTTTGGAGTCATTCCTTGGCAGATTTTCCCTCACACACTAGGGCTAAGCAATGAGCAAACACTATCTACTCCATCTTCTAAGAGATTCCGGAATTTGACTAATTCCTTCTACCTTGGGCTGCCACCTCACCATATTCTTTCCCTGGATCTTCACACAAGTTTCCAGGCTTAAACCTTCTGTTAGCTCTCCCACGGCAGTCCCCTTGCACTTGTTAAAATATACAAGGGATGGGAACAAAAGTTGGCGTAATGGCTATGTTACTGAACTCCTGTGTAGTCAACCACGGTTCAAGTCTCAGACCCGGTGGCTTAAACTCATGCCGGGTGCATGTGCGTGCATGCCCAAGATCCTGAGAGGAGAATGGAGGAGAAGGGATTGTGGTGTGGCCACCCCCCCCCAGGGGGTGATTTCTCACTTTCTGTCTCTGTCTCTCTTTGTCTTTCTGGCGAGCCCTATAGCAAAAACCTCTCAAAAAAAATATATAATATATATTTATATATATACACATATATGTACACGTACACACACACACACACACACACACACACAAGGGAGCCGGCACTGCTTTTCTGCTTTTAGGTCTCCAGTGACTTCCCATCTCACCCACAGGAAACACCAATCGACTTTAAATGTCCAGTAGAGTCCTAGACTTCGCCCACTGTAGCCACCGAGTCTACACACCTGACCCTTTGCTTCCTCAGGACTTTGGTTGTTCCCTCTGTCTGCCATGTTCTTTCCCCAGGCTTAACCCCATCTGGGCTCCTGGCTTGGTCTCAGCAAGACTTTACTGACCACATTATCAAAAATTGCAACCTCCCTCCACTCACCTGCTCTCCTCTGTCCTCATCACTATTTTTCAACTTAGTATTTGTCATCGCCTACCATGCAATATATAAAATATTTTGCTTATTTTTTTGATCTCTAACCACTAGACTGTAAACTTCTTGAGGTCAGGGACTGATGCTATTGCTCTTTCTGTTTTGCTTTAAAGTTGCTGTAAGGTGCCTGCACTCAGTGTAGAGAGACAGAGAAAGAGATAGGGAAGGAGCAGCAGGTAGTTGACCACGGATCCGGACTCAGATCTGGACCCAGCTCCAGACCCAGGAGCTTAAACGCTTGCTAGATGTGTGTACAACTCATGCACCCTTTAGCAAAAATCACTGGTGGGGAGGGTGGAATGGGGAAGGGAATAGAGAGAGGAAAAGTGAGAAAGCATCTCGCTAGGGTGGATGACCATGCTGCAATTCCTTCTCCTTCACTCTCCTCTAGGGATTTTGGGCACGCACATTCACACATGTGCCAGGTGTGTTTTTCAGGCCACCCGGTCTGGGATTTGAACCATTACAGTTGGCCATGTGACCATGTGAGATACAGCCACCTTCTTCCCATCCTGGCTGGCATGGGACTTATGTTTTGTTTATTGCTGTATCTGTACTTCTAGAGCCAATGTCTGTCACACTGTAGATGTTAAATCTTTGTTACATAAACTGGTCGTAGCTGTTATTACCATGTTTGTTAGTATGTCCTAAAGACTCTAATCTAGGTTCTAATTGCAAGTTTTCCAAGCATTTAATGAAATCCAAATCCTGCAAGGGAATAGGTAAACTTGTGAATATGTATATAAATTCTAACAAAAATACTTTCTTCCTCTTCTCTCTGCCTCTGTTTCTCTTGGATGAGTGCATGTACCCTCTGGCAAATTTTTCAAAAGATTTAAAAAAAGTTTTTTTTAGGCCAGCAGGTGGCGTGGTAGTTGAGGGAACTGGAACCTCACGTGGCCAATGCAGTTCAAATCCTGGATCTGGCAGCTTGCTTTCTCACTTTTCCTTTCTCTTTCTCTCTTGCACTCGCTCTCACTCTGTCCTTTTCTGGTCAAATTAAATAATTCTTAAAAAAAAAAAAGGTTGACATATTGATCCTTTTCCTTTTCATAGACAGCCAGCAAGCTAACATTTCCCATAGTTCTTTTACAAGAATTATTTAATCTTGTTATTATTATCATCATTTTTCATTAATTTGATGAGAGAGAGAAAGTGAGAAAGCAAGCTGCTAAGTCTGGAACTTGAACCATGGTCAGTCATGCGAGAATCCAGTGCCTTAACCACCATGCCATGTGCGGAACCCATTTGCTACATTTTTAAGATTTTATTTTAAAAATATTCTATTTTTATAATGCATACAAATTAAAGAAAGAATAAATATTGGGGGCCAACAGTTGGCATAGATCTCACATGGCTGACTGTGCATTTAGACTCCCAGACACGGTGACTTGAAATCATGCCGGGAATGTGTGCGCATGCCCAAAATTCCAAGAGGAAAACAGAGAAGTGATTACAGCGTGGTCATCCCCTTTAGGGTTAATTTCTCATTATCCGCCCCCCCCCCCTCCATGTCTGTCTCTGGTGAGCACACGTGCCCTATAGCCAAAGTAAATACATAAAAGAAATATTCTGTGACATATCATTTAAAATTTCCACATTCACAAAATGTTGTTGGAACCCTGCCACGATCATTTGTTGAGAGCTGTTATCCATAGCTGTTTTCACACTACCATGACAGGGCCTAGTCGTTACAATAGAGACAGCATGACTCACAATGCCTAAAGTATTTACTGTCTAGCCCCTTAGGAGTAAGTTTACCAACCCTGGTTGTATTCACTTCCTTAATTACCAGGGGGCAACAGGAGACAGACAACACCCGCACATGGGGCATGATCATGCCACCATCCCACCTCTTCTTTTTCCCCGTTCTGTTGGGATTTTGGGTGCGTACACACATGCAACCAGAACGTTGTTTTTGTTTTTTTTTTTCCCCCAAGTCACTGGGACATAACTTAAATCATAGTCAGCCATGTGAGCGCCGACTCCCTTAACCACTAGACAATGGAGCACACCCTGATCCTTCGTTTTTTTTTTTTTTTTTTGAGAGATTTTTGCTAGAAGAGGTGTGCGCTTGCCAGAGAGAGAGACAGAAAGCAAGAAACCACCTCCCCGGCAGATGGCCACACCGCAATCCCTCTCCTCCACTCTCCTCTTGTGCTTTTGGGCATGAACACACACGTACCCAACATGACTTTCAAGCTGCTGGGGCCGGGACTCAAACTGCAATTAGCCATGTAGGAGTTCAGTGCCTTAACCACTATGCTATCTGCTGGCTCCCTGATCTTGGTTTTAAAGAAGCAAAATATAGGATACAAAATTGCTTAGCTTACCAGTTTCTTAAGTAGCACCTCCAGGTGATTCAGTGGCGCTGGGATGTTTCAGCCTGGGCCCGAAGACAAGAGAAGCTGGAGTGTCCTTTTTAACAGCTCACAAAGAAATCTGTCTGGAGTCTAGCAGCAACTGAGTTCAAGCAACTCCCTGCTCTCCAAAATCCTTTCTGAGGCTGGGTCAGACGAACCCACCGCTTTTAAACCTATTATAATCCAATCTGTAACTCGTAAACTGGTTTCCAGTCACGTGTCTGGACCAGTTTATCCTGATTGGATTTTCCAGTGTGATCCACAATCTTTTCATCCCAACTGCTATTTAAAGGAAGGAATGAAGGCGGGGTTGCAGGGCCACACCTAGGAGCTGCCCTCCAGGCTGGCGCCTCTCTCTGTTGTTTGGAGACCCACCACTTTCTCTCTAGCTCACTTGGAACCTGAGCTATTTAGGGATAGGGGTGAGGTGCATCAGGGATGGTTCACCTAGCTGGTATTTTTTTTTCTTTGATTTACTTTCATTCACCGTACATCATTACCATATACAAAACGAGATTTCCCCTCCAGAATGCACTGTATATTGGCTCAATCAAGGATGTTAACCATGCATGTTATCGTCAACAAATAATTTTCTATTTCTTGTTTCTTATATATTTTGCTTACTTTTTCTCCTTGATTCCCTACCTCTTACCTTCTGCCATTTTCACCTGTTTTTTTTTTTTGTTTTTAAATAATTATTTATTTAATTGTATTTATTTATTCATTTATTTTAATTTGACCAGAGAGACACACAGAGAGAGAAAGGGAAAGTGAGAAAGTAAGCCACAGGTCCAGGACTTGAAGCACGGGTTGACCATGTGAGAGTGTCCAGCGCCTCAACCACCATGCTCAAGCTCATGCTCCCTCACCTAGCTCTTTTTTTTTTTTTTTTTTTGGAGAGATTTTCACTATAGGGCGCGTGCGCTCGCCAGACAGACGGAGAGAGACGTAGAGACAGAAAGCGAGAAATCACTCCCCAGGGGGGATGGTCACGCCGCAATCCCTTCTCCTCCATTCTCCTCTCAGGATCTTGGGCACGCACGCACACGCGCCCAGCGTGAGTTTTAAGCCACTGGGTCCAGGACGCGAACCGCGGGGAGTCCAGCGACATAGCCATTACGCTAACTGCTGGTTCCCCCTCACCTAGCTCTTTTAACAGAGCTTCAGCATAGATAATTCTTTCCAGGTGCTGGAAGTGCAGACAGATCACGCCAGCTACAGAGAACTAAAACCTGCCCTCTTCCAGGGAGTCCCCAGGAGTGGGACTCAGAACCATCAGTCTGGTGGGCTGCACTTGAAGACGGGGCTCCCTTGGGATTCCCCAAAGCCCAAGCAGATTCTTCACTGTGGGTCTTTAACAGCTTTCTCAAGGTAGCAGCCCATTCCGGTAATCCTTTTCTAGGAGTTGAAGGTCATACCGGAGCTCCCTGGAGTCACCTTTCACTTCCTCCCCTCCCCTTCACACCTTCTCCTTGCTAGTCCCTCTCTAGAACCTCTTGATTAAATGTCTTCCTTCCCACTGTTCTGACTACCTTTCAATACAGACCCTGGAGGAAGGGAGCGCTTCTAGAGGCCCTTGACAGGCAAGAAATATTTGTATTTCCACCCATTCCAACTCACAAAAGCAAAGCAAAAATCTGGTTTGCAAATCAAAACGTTGTAAAGCATCATGACTTGATGAAACTTAAAATACCTCTCCACGTAAACATGACAAGAGAAGCCAAGGAGGTGTAATAGTGTGAAACAGAGGGTCAGTAATCTTGTCTGGGGGCTAGAGAAAGGCCACCTGAGGGAGTCTGAAGTAGCCAACTGCATTTGCTGCAGGAAAACTGGGCAAAATGATGTAACAATCCTTTTTTTTTTTTTTTTTACTTTTTATTTATTTATTTATTTTTTGAGAGGTTTTCGCTATAGGGCGCGTGCGCTCACCAGACAGACAGACAGAGACATACAGACAGAAAGCGAGAAATTACCCCCCGCCAGGGGGGATGGTCATGCCGCAATCCCTTCTCCTCCATTCTCCTCTCTGGATCTTGGGCACGCACGCACATGCGCCTGGTGTGAGTTTTAAGCCATCGGGTCTGGGACGCGAACCGCGGTCGACTACATGGGAGTCCAGCGACATAGCCATTACGCTAACTGCTGGTTCCCACAATCCTTTTTTATTTTTAAATTTAATTTAGTTTTATCATTATTTTAAAATTTGACCAGAGAGAGACAGAGGGAAAGTATGAAAGCAAGCCACAAGGTCTGGGGCTTAAACTGTGGTCAGGCAAGTGGGAGTCCAGCGCCTTAACCACTATACCACCCGCCATCCCCAAGCTTTAGACCGTCAAAGTGCTTACCATGACCGCAGGCCTAAATGATCAGATTACAGAGCTGGTGGACATCCTCCTGGATCTCCTTTGCCCCTCTAGTCCAGTCGCCCAGATCCAACCTACACCCCACTTCCATGTCTGACATCTTAAGTGCCCCCCTAGCATCTGGCATGGGTTTGTTCACACTGGACCCCTTAATCTAAGGCATCCCACTGGCTCTGAATTTACTTACCTCCCTGAAAGCGAGAGGAGGATCTTATGGAGTCATTCTCTCATTGGTAGAACCACAAAAGGATGTTCTGTTTTTGAACTTGCTAGATAGTGTGTGCATTTGCCAGAGACAAGAGGGAGAAAATCACCCCCAATGGGGCATGGTCACACTGCAATCGCTTCTGCTCCATTTCTCCATCCTGTAAGGATTTTGGGTACACATGTTTTTCATGTTGCCTGGTCTGGGACTCCAATTATAGGGCCAGCCATGTGGAATCCAGCTCCCTTAACCTTAGGCCATAGGGCCAACCCCAGGGTGTCCTATTTTATTTTATTTATTTATTTAGGAATTTTGCCATAGGGCACATATGCTTGCTGGAGAGAGACAGAGTGAATGAGGAAATGTGAAAAATCACTCCCTACCCAAGAGGGGTGGCCACGGTGCAGTTCCTTCTCCTCCATTCTCCTGGGAGTTCGGGTGCACACAAATCTGGACCCTGTGTCTTTTTTTTTTTTTTTTTTTTGAGAGAAGTTTTTGCTATAGGGCACATGCCTTCACAAGAGACAGAATGTGAAAAATCATCCCCCAGGGGCAGCGGGATGGCCACAATCTCTTCTCCATTTTCCTCTCAGGATCTTGGGTATGCACGCACACACACCCGGTGTGTTTTAAGCCACCGGGTCTGGGACCTGAACTGTGGTTGACTACATGGGAGTCCAGCGATGTAACCATTACACTATCTGCTGGTCCCGCTCTGTGTGATTTTTAAGCTACCAGGTCCAGGTAGCTTACGGTTGGCTGTGTGGGATCCAGTGCCTTAACTACTACGCCACCTGGTGGCCCTGGATGTCCTTTTTTTAAAAAAAGAAAAGAATTATTTTTATTATTTTAACTTTATTTGAATTTGACCCAAGAGGGAGAGAGAGAGGGAGGGAGGGAAAGCGATAAAGCAAGGTGCTAGGTCGGGCACTCGAACCATGGTCAACCATGTGGGAGTCCAGTGCCCTCAAACCACCATGCCAACTGCCAGCCCCAAGGATGTCTTTTTTTTAAAATGATTACTTTATTTCAATTTTATCAGAGAGGGACAGAGTTAGTGAGAGGGAAAGTGAGAAAGCAAGTCACCAGGTCCAGGACTTCCAACCGTGGTCAGCCGTATAGGAGTCCAGCACCCTTAACCATCACACCACCTCCTGGCACCAGGATGTCCTTTTTTTTTTTTTTAAACATGGAATGCTTCACGAATTTGCATGTCATCCTTGTGCAGGGACCATGCTAATCTTCTATCATTCCAATTTTAGTAAGTGCTGCTGAAGCGAGCACAGATGTCCTATTTTTTAAAAAGCAATTATTTATTCATTCATTTATTTTAATTTGACCAGAGACAGACAGTAACAGAGAGAGAGAGAGAGGGAAAGTGAGAAGGCAAGCCACCAGGTCTGGGACTCGAACCGTGATCAGTCATGTGGGAGTGTCCAGCACCTCAACCATCACGCCACTTGCTGGTCCCCAGATGACCTATTTTTAATGTGGGATACAAACACTAAAATATGATCATGGTATTTAACCAAAAGGAATTTTAGATGTCTTTAACTGGCCAAACTTGTTAGTCAAAAAGAGGCTGGATCTGTTGGGGTGACAGGCATGGGTTGGTGAGATCCAAGAAAGACCAGAGGCTCTGGCTCAGATGTGCAGAGTGGATATCCTCTTCCAGTACTAGGGGTCTGCCCTGTGCAATGCAGGCCTATTCCAGCATAGCCAGAGGCCAGAGGAGGCTTATGGAGCCACAGGAAAACAGGGAGAAGGGAGTCCAGGATCTCCATGAGGTTAGCAGTGAGGGGTGCTGTGAAGAACCCTTCAGTCCAATGGTTCTCACTTGGTATGTTCCAGGCCCTCAGGGTCCATATTGCATGCGCAGAACCCCCTGAACAGCCATAGAAATAGCAAGGAGGTAACAGATGCTTCAGAGAGAACCAAGGGGGAGGGAATGATAAATCACACCATGAGATCTTGGGGCTGAACCTGGTCCAGCCTGGTTTATGTAAGCATCAAGGATGCTTCAGCGCCTTCTTATTCAATCAGTAACTAGAACGTCCTGAGTTTTAAACTTGGAAGCAGCTTAAGAGATCATAGAGGACACGTATGGTAACACTGAGGCTCTTTATTTCCAACCATTTCTTTACAAACAACTGAACAAAGGTAACTCCCGCATTTACTTCCCAAGCCCAAACTTCCCTATAGAAATTCAGATTTGTATTTGTAACTCTATAGACTGCAGCTCCCCAAAGATCCCAACAAACTCCCCAGTTAACATCTTTCTCCCACCCTGATCACTTCCCCATTTACTGCTCACACGGAGCACCTGTCTACAACCGTGGCTTCTGTGCTCCTTTAAGTTGCACTTAGATTCTGGGCTTCAGTGTAAAAGTGCCCAGAATAAAGCTTTTTATAAGTGCGAACTCAGCTAGGCATGCATGTAACAGGGGCAGAGGATTGGCTCTGGGTCATAGAAGGTTCTGTCGCCACAGTGAGGACAGGGGTTGGCACTGAACCAGACCATGCCGGGCCGCCCCAACTCATGCAGCATCTGCTTCAGCCTGGCATGCACGTAGGCGAGCCTCCCCAGGTGGAGGGTACCTCGGACATCCTCGTAACTCTCCAGTGGGGCAGGATACAGCACATGGCTTAGCTTGCTCAGCCCGACGGTGTGGCGCAGGAGGCTCTCCAGGACAGCCATGGACATGGGGTTCCCGCAGAAGGTGAAGGTCATGAGCTGGGAGCAGCGGCTCAGGATAGGCAGGAAGGTACTGAATTGGGAGTCCATGATCCCACACTCATCCAGGTCCAGGTCCTGGATGGTGGCGGAGACTCTCTCTAGCAGAACTTGCAGGGGTTCAGCACTTATGTTGGTGAGGCTGACCCCACACAGACTCAGGTCCTTCAGCTGAGTGATGCTGGGGCTCTGGGACAGATACGTCAGGTCTGATTCTGAAAGTGGGCAGTTAGTTATTGAAAGTGTCTCTAGAGGGCCCTTCAGGTACCTGGGGAGAAAAAGAGCAGTCAGTGCCAGGGAATGCTGGTGGTGGGCAGAGGGTATGGGAATGTCCCTGGCCTCAATCGGAGAGAGGCCCAATTAAGAAAAAAAAAACACCTTTAATTAATTAATTAATTAAATATATATTTTAATTTGACCAGAGAGGGATAGAGCGAGACAGAGAAAATGAGAAAGCAAGCCACCAGACATAGGACACAAACCGTGATCAACCATGTGGGAGTACAGTGCCCTTAACCACCACACCACTTGCCAGCCTGAGAGGCTCATGTCTTCCCCATGACAGCCAACCAACTTCCTCTACTCCCAGGATGCCATGTTGTAAGGGGGCATTCAAGTGAGTCCGAGTTTAGATGGAGTCCCTTCACCACCACTACCTATTTGCTGTGTGACTGGATCACGTGAACGGAATTGCCAATGCCCCCTCTGCTCACCTGTCAAGCAGTGGACAACATATACTTCTTAGGTGGTGAGAGTGAGAACTGAGAATGAAAATAGGACGTGCTCAGAAGAGAGCCTGACCCGGAGTTGCAAGCCACGAAGGGCATCAGTGAATCTTAGTATTTGGAGACAGGATCAAAACTGCCTTCAACTCAGGCTTCCTGCTGGCCACAGCTTGAGCCCCAATCACCTGTCTGTCTGGACCCAATGAGGCTACTTGGAAACTTTCATATAGGGCAAGGCTGGTAATATCCATGAGGGGGCTGCCAGCCTACAAGGGCTACCTTTGATCACTGTTTCTTCATACCACGGAGTTCCTTTTTTATTTTGGCTAGAGAACACTTGCACTTGTCAGAGAGAAAGAGAAAAAGAGAGAGAGGAGAAAGCACCCCAATAGGACATGGGCACATCGTAATCCCTTCTCCTCCACCTCTCTCCCCTTTTAGGATTTTGGGACTGCACACACACGTCCAGCATTTTTTTTCAAGCCACTGGGTCCAGTACTCAAACCGCACTGTCAGCCATGAAGGATCCAGCTGCCTTAACCACCATGCCATGGAGCTAGCCCTACCACCTAGCACTTTCCAATGCCCTCCTCACTTTATTATTTTTGGTCATAACTCAGCAGACACCACATTCTAAAGAATTAATTCCCAAGGCCACCCTTGCCTGGCTGGAACCTCCTATCATACAGTTTCCTAGCAGGGAGTCACTGTTCATTGTCTCTAGCCTAGTTGACACCTGGGTAGTTACATGATACCATGCTTGGGGATACAGTGAACAAGACATCATGGTGACAGGTACAGAGAAGATGCCCATACTAAAATGAAGTCATGGTACCAGCAGTTGGCATAACGGCTATGTCTCTGGACTCCCATGTAGTCGACTGTGGTTTGAGTCCCGGACCTGGTGACTTAAACTCATGTCGGGCGCGTGTGCGTGCGTGCCCAAGATCCCGAGAGGAGAATGGAGGAGAAGGGATTGTGGCATAGCCATCCCCGCTGGGGGTTGATTTCTCACTTTCTGTCTCTCTTTCTGGAGAAGCACATGCACTGGAGCAAAAACCTCTCAAAACAAAAACAAACAAACAAACAAAACGAAGGCAGGCTTGCCCTGGTATGCAGAGAAACCTCACCACTCCTCACCTGAGTACCTGGTCCAGGCGGCCACTAAGGAAGGCAATCGAGTCCAGATAGAGCTCCTGGAGCTGGCACAGGCTGCGGAACTGAGAGGTGAATAAGCTGACATACTGCTCCACCTTCTCCAGGGAAGTGTAGGTAGACACGTGGATGTGGGAGAGGAGGAGTCTACGCAGATTGCCCATCTGGCCCAGGAGCGGAGAAAACTTCGCCAGGGTGGACAGCTTCCAGGTACAATTCACTTCCAAATCGTGGATTGAGTCCAGCTGCACCATACTCAGGATTAGCTTAATATTCTGCATAGGCATTGCAAATATCTTCAGCTTCTTACAGCACAGGCGGAGTAAACCATTCTTCTGCTTGATTTTCTCCATGAGGTAGGTGAGCAACTTATCATGGGCACCACCTTCCTTGAGGCACAGATCTATCAACACCTCCACAGGAGCCAAAGACTGCTTCGCCTCCATTTTCGCATCGTCCACTTTGCGCTTCTTCCTCATGGGCTGGGCTGCCTCTGGCTCCATCAGTGAGCGCACACTGGTCCTGGTTCCAGACCATACGGTCCAGAAGTCCTGAGGAGCGGTCTTCCGTAAATCTAGCATTTGTAGTTTCCACCTCCTGCAGGGAAAACAGGTAACTGGCTGAGATGCTTGAAGAATGACTTGGGGGATCGGCAGGTGGTGTGGCGGTTGAGGTGCTGGACACTCCCACATGGCTGACTGTGGTTCGAGTCCCGGACCTGGTGACTTGCTTTCTCACTTCTCCCCCAACCCCCGACCCTCTGGTCAAATTAAACTAAATGAATGAGTAAATAAAATTAAATTAAAAAATAATTCTTAAAAAAAAATGAATGACTTGGAATAAGACTTCATTGGTCTCAAAACCTAAGCAAGGGTCAGACATCTGACCTGCAATATTTCTTCATACCCCGGACATCAGCTACCGCTTTTCCTACTGGAGTCCTTTTACTCCCTGGGATCTTTCCTAGTACCCACTTCTCATACTTTAAGTACCACAGAGAGGAAGCAGGTGTGTGTTACTTCAGTTACCTCTGCATCTTATCAGCCCACCATGTCTGAAGTCACCCAAAATGCCCCAGCAATGGCTCTAAGGACTATTAAGTTTTCTCACTGGCACTATCAGAAGCCCCTGGCTGGGGACAGCAGGTAGCATATTGGTTAAGGCACTGGACTCCCAACATGGTCGATCACAATTTGAGTCCTGGACCTGGAAGCTTGAAACTCATGCCAGGCATGTGTATGTGCATGCCCACAATCCCAAGAGGATAATGAAGGAGAAGGGATTGGGGCTGGGGGGTGATTTCACACCTTCTTTCTCCATCTCTCTGGATGAGCCCTATAACAAAAATCCCTCCAAAAAAGGGGACCAGCAGGTGGTGTAGTGGTTATGTTGCTGGACTCCCACATGGCTGACCATGGTTCAAGTCCCAGACCCAGTGGCTTCAAAATCATACCAGGTACGTATACATGCATGCCCAGGATCCCAGGAGGAAAATGGAGGGGAAGGGACTATGGCATGGCCATCCCCCTGGGGAGTAACTTTTTATTTTCCCTCTCACTCTCTCTGGTGAGTACACAAGCCCTAAGGCAAAAACTTAAAAAGCCCCAGTCACCCTTTGGCTTTCCACTCTCCCTGACACTGGCATGCCTTACTCAGCCAACCAGGGCCCTACCAGACTACCGGATCTCCCTCACCTGGGGCGAACCTCCTGGGCAAGAAGAACATCAAGCCCGTCAAGCACAGCTTGGAAGACCTGTGGAGGAACCTGCCGATCCTTCAGCAGAGCCCCCAGAGGCAGGCAGGCGAAGGGCCAGGCCTGCACCATGGCCTTCAGGGTCTTGCTGTGTTTCCCAGCGAAGGCCGCAGAGAACAAGGGTGGGAAGAGCTCCATGGGCAGCTCCTCCAGAGCGGCGATGGCCAAGGCCTCATTCCTCAGCAGGCTCTGTCCTGCCAGCTCCAGGAGTCTCGGTGGGGCCCACATGGTCAGCCTGATGAATGCTGAAGCAGCTGCTCCAAAAGGAATCCTGGGGAAACACATGAGAACAAGACAGCTTCCTCAGGCCACGTACAAGCACCGTCATCTTCTCCTCAGCTTTCAGAGGACCCCGTTCAGAGCCAAAGTTACTGCTCTGATGACAGGAGTGGGAGCATCCTTAGTTTACCCCAATTCCAGTCTGTATTCAGTGTCCACAAAGCCACAGTTGTGCTTCCACTGACAAGATAAATATCTAGCCAACTGGCGAAAAGGTGCGAAGAGGACCGCTGGTCCCACCTGTAAGCAGCCACTGCTCCACTTAATTCTAGTACCGAGATGTGAGTACTGACAAGTCTGTAAAATGACTCTGCCTCCTTCATAGGAAAGTTCCTAATTAGTACTTAAGGACCAGGGAAATGAAAATGTCCCATGTCTCAGCATAGCCTCCTTTCAGCTCTAACAAATAAGCACATGGGAAAGATAAGCAATACACATTTAGTGGGTGCTATTATATTTCAGTAAAAAAAAAGTTTAAATGAAAAAGTGTACAAGCAGTGGATCAGTATTATGTTACACCTGGAAGAGATTTTTTTCCTTTCTTTTTTTTAAAAATTATTTATTTAACTTTATTCATTCTTTCTTTTTTGTTTTTAATTTGACTAGAGAGATACAGAGAGAGAGAGAGGGTGGGAGAGCAAGCCAGGACTCGAACCGTGGTCAGCCATGTGGGAGCACCCAGTGCCTTAACCACCACGCCACCCACTGGTCCCACACCTGGAAGAGATTTTTTTTTTTTTTTTTTGGGAGAGATTTTCACTGTAGGGCGCGTGCGCTTGCCAGACAGACAGAGAGAGACAGAGAGACAGAAAGCAAGAAATCACCCCCCAGGGGGGATGGTCACGCCGCAATCCCTTCTCCTCTCGGGATCTTGGGCACGCACGCACACACGCCCGGCGTGAGTTTTAAGCCACCGGGTCCGGGACACGAACCACGGTCGACTACATGGGAGTCCAGCGACACAGCCATTACGCTAACTGCTGGTTCCCTGGAAGAGATTTTTTAAAAAATGCAAACTTAGGGCTAGCAGGTGGCATGGTGGTTAAGGTGCTGGACTCCCCACCTAAATGACCAGGGTTTGAGTTCTAGACCTGGTTGCTTCTTTTCTCACTTTCCCCTTCTCCTCCTCCCAGAACAGCCCTTCAAATTAAATAACAATAAAAAAAATGAAATAATTTAAAAAATGCAAACTCTGAGATTTTTTTTTTTTAAAGTTCTGTTATAGGGCATGTGCACTCACCAGAGAGACAGACAAAGGGGGGGAAAGTGAGACATCACCCACCCCACATGGGGTGGCCATGCTGTAATCTCTTTGCCTCTAATCCTCCTCTCAGCACTTTGGGTACACATGCAGATGTACCCGGCATATTTTTTCAAGCTGCTGGGTCTGGGACTTGAACTGGGTAGTTGATCATGTGGGATCCAATTCCCTTAGGTACCAAGCCACAGGGTCAGCCCTAAACTTTTTTTAATGACATCCAGTACGTATGCGTTCCGTTTTCCCATCTGGTTATCTGTGGGAGCTGAGAAGGAAGCTGGGCTGAGACACGCGACACTCCCATTCCCATTGTGCTTCAATAATCACCACAAACTTTACAGAGGAAAGGGCAGGGTCTCATGCTCTATCTCCCAGCCTTTATAGCCAGCCAGGAAAACTGGAACAGTAAAGCTCAACTTGGGAAACAAACCCCAATCTTCCACACGACCTCCAGCATTACGGAGTTTCACACTACCAATGCGCTATCAGGATATGCTTTATTTCTTTAGGTTTTAGTAATTATTTTTAATTTCGCTATAGGACACATGCACTCACCAGAGAAAGACAGAGAGCACAGACTCAAGGGCGGGGGCGGAAGGGGAGGAGTGAGAAAGCAAGCTGCAGTCAGCCATGTGGGAGTTCAGTAACTTACCAACCACACCACCTGCTGGCTTTAGGCTAGGCTTTTTTCTTTTCTTTCTTTTTTTTTTTTTCTTTGTTTGGAGAGTTTTTGCTATAGGGCACATGTGCTCGTCAGACAGACAGAGACAGAGAGACAGAAAGCGAGAAATCACCCCCCAGGGGAGATGGCCACACCGCAATCCCTTCTCCATTCTCTTCTCGGGTGGGGTCTTGGGCACGCACACACATGTGCCCGGCTTGAGTTTAAGCCACCGGGTGGAACCGCGGTCGGCTACGTGGGAGTCCAGCGACATAGTCATTACGCTAACTGCTGGTCCCTCCTTTTCTCTTTTTTTAAGAATTATTTTAGGGGGGGACCAGCAGTTAGCGTAATGGCTATGTCGCTGGAATTCCACATAGTCGACCATGGTTCGAGTCCCGGACCCAGTGGCTTAAACTCACGCCCGGCGCGAGTTTGTCTCTCTGTCTCTCTCTGTTTGTCTGGCGAGCACACGCGCCCTATAGCAAAAACCTCTAAAAAAAAAAAAGAATTATTTTAGGGACCAGCAGTTGGCCTAATGACTATGTCGCTGGACTCTCACATAGCTGGCTGCGGTTCAAGTCCCAGACCCGGTGGCTTAAACTCACGCCGGGTGCGTGTGTGTGCGTGCCCAAGATCCCGAGAGAAGAATGGAGGAGAAGGGATTGCGGCATGACCATCCCCCCTGGGGGTGATTTCTCGCTTTCTGTCTCTCTGTCTCTCTCTGTCTGGCTAGCACACGCGCCCTATAGCGAAAACCTCTCCAAAAAAAAATTTTTTTTTAAAAAGATTATTTCTTCCATGACACATACAAGAGCCAGAGACAGAGATACACACTCCCAACAGGGTCTCCACAATGCAACCCATCCCTAGCCTCTGCCAGCCCTAGATCACAGGCATGCACGTGCCTGGTGTACTGAGAGAGGTCTCCAGAAATGAACCTGGATCTTTCCCATGAGAGGCAGCCTCAGAGATGGGGTATTATAACACCATCTGGTCCCCAGGATGCTTTCCATCTTGGTATCTTCTCGAAACTTCTTTCTCTAAATTCCTACCCTTAATGCCTAAATTCCTACCCTTTTATCCTTCGTGTAAAATTGGGTTAAACTGGAATGGGATTTATAGAAATCTGCTAAACTTCCAGACCCAGTGGCTCTTAAGGTAGCCAGAGCCCACATGACAAATTACAGTTCGAATCTCAGCCCCAGTAGCTTGAAAAACATGCTGAGCATGTGTGTGTGCATGCCTCAAATCCCAACAGGATGGAGAAATGGAGGGGGAGGGATTGCAGGCAGCATGATCATACTCCATTGGAGGGGGGAGTGCTTTTTCTGGTGCACGGTCAAGAGTGATTTTGGCATGACCGTTTCTCATGGGAAGTGCTTTCTCATTCCCCCCTCTCTCTTCTCTGGTGCCCTCTGGCAAATTAAAAACAAACACATCTGTTGGCCCCCTGTGCCCTCTAGCACTCAATAGGTGATTTTTCTTCAGATTCATCATTTTTAACCCTAAACAAGGGATTGTCCTTTTTTCGTCATCAATAAGGACCTGTCTGAGTATGAGGGGTCACCCTGGGTCTAGCTAGGTACTCCTAAGGGATGGTTCTGAAGGTAAGTGGGATGGGGGAAGGAGACTGATGGCTCCTCCCAGGTTGGCTGGAGCAGAGGGACTCAGAGAAGGAAAAGGACAAGAAGGATATTGATGAACTGGCCCAGAGTAGCTGATGTGGATCTAAGAATGAGGGGTAGGGGAAAAGTTACAGCAGAGCAGGAGGCCAGGTCCTCTGGCTCTCAGAGCTGTATCCCTGAGAAAAAAAGGACTAGCGTCTAAGACCAACTGGGGACACTGTTGACCTAAATTTAGGGAACAGGAGTGTCCTGAGGCCCTAGACTGAGTGAGGAGATATGCTACTGAGTAAAAGGTTAGACAGTCTGAAGCACCCTAGTTTTACTCCCAGTTGCTGTGACCTTTCTTTGTGACTGGTTTCCTCGCTCCATCCCAAAAGAAGTAGTCAGACCAAAGGAGAATCTGAAGGTAAGAAGAGAGGTGAACATAGATCCTAGCTGCAAAGATGAACAAGCAGTTAAGAGGTTAAGAAGTGGTTTGGGGTCAGTGGTGGCGTGGTGGTTATGGTATTGGACTCCCACATGGCTGACCATGGTTTGAATCCTGGACTTGGCTGCTGTAAACTCACACCAGGCACATGTGCACACATGCCCAGAATCCTAAGAGGATGGAGAAGGGATTGTTGCATGGCCATCCTCCCCTGGAGG